CACGTTTCCTCCTGTGACTCATGGACGAGCGTCTGAGACAATCCAAACTTACTCTGGAGTCGGGAGCTGGCTCTGATAGGTCACCTCGTATTGACCAACAGGAATTAGCATTACAGCAGCAGCCCGGGAGTCAATACGAAAGTGATGAGTCATCAGAGTCGAGGCTCGGCGGCGAAGAAGTCCTCGCGAGGGGCATCTGACTCAGGCGAGTTCATCCAGTGTTCGACTACTTTATGGTCATTTCTTTCTAAGCAGTTAAATCCAAGGTGAGAATTTGTCCTTTCCAAACATTATCCAGTAATTCTCCAAACGTGGGGCTAATGCAACGTGAAACATCATCTTTCTGTCCCGACAGGCCTCAAACTTCACGTGCACACAGATTTGTGAACGCTCTTCCTGACTGATGACCTCGACTGTCAGTGCAAAGTGTCACCAGTGAAATGTCAGCGTTTCTGCAATCGGAGGAGCAGCAGACCACCGCCGAGGGGTCACGGTAGCGCCGCGCTGCTCTGACAGTCGATCAATGAGGCAAAACATTTAGCACGAGGGGAAGCAACGCTAAACATCTGAAATGAGAAGGACAACAGCGCTGTGCACACTCGAGCCAACACTCAGTCTTTGTTTCCTTCCTGGAAATGATAAAATGGTAGAGAAGCAGTTCCCCAAACTTCTGATTTGGACTTTGGTGCTTTTTCAAACTAGAAATAAAGAAGTGCTGGCTTAAGAGTTTCGCACAGCACTGCATTTGTAAAGGTTTAATAAATGCAAGGTGTTTATGGAAGTTCTGTAACATTGTGTTGAAATAATACAAATATAACAATTTAGACCTTGACCTTAATTCTGAGACACTAAGCAGGAGTTGTTGTTGTTTTTACTTCAGACTAAATCTGAAAAACTATTGGAAACCACCAAAAATCAATTAAGGAATTAACAGCATGTAAATTTGGCTCAAGCTGAATCCAAATGCAGAGAATCAGAAGAAAGGAGAGAAATCCTCCAAACACGATTGTCCAAAACACCGAATAACACTTCCCAGAATTACATTTAAATCCATCAGCTGCAAAGAAACGTTTAAACGGCTTTTGAAGCCGGGCGTCGTTTATTGATATTTCTTAAAAGTCAATCAAGCTCGATGCTTTGAGCGGGCAGCCGGCTCACAACCATCTGAAGATCCAGCTCCAAAAACATCTGCGCCTCCTCACGCTGCTGATGTTGGAACATTTTCCCAGAATCAGGTAAATAAAACATATTCTGACACTTCATTTAATTTTCTGTGCTATAGAACCTGAAGAGGAGAAGTTTCCACAGACTGACGGTGAGACAGATGTGGCGGTGTGGGTGTGTCATCAGGATCATGATGTTTCTAATCCATTTATTGACTAAATACCAACATTTAAAGGCAGATTATGGGAAACAAACGCAGAAATGCTACTTTCTCCATATTCCTCTGCTTCCCTCCTCAGACTCCGAACACTAACTTCAGGGATCAGGCCTGGGACATCATTTCCCAGGAGCCCCTGCTGCTGACACCCTTCATAAGATGGAAGGTGACCGCAACACCTCCACAGAGCAGTCCTCGGGGAACCTGCAGGTTACCAACTTCATTAAGGCTCGTATCAACAACCTGCCGCCACTTTAAAGCGTTCATTACAGATCCTACAATTACCTGCCACATTAGGGCGGCGGGGGGAGTGGCCGTCTGTTAGTGCGACCTGTCGGCTTTAATGGAATTCAGCTCCGATGTTCTACACCTGTAAGCGCGACACAGAGACTCTCACAGCCGTGAGCGTGTGCACCTCCCTGCTTTGCTAATTCTGATATCTGAACCAAAGTTTTGGCCTCGTTATCGTGACCGTCAGTTGACACCACTTTCATGTCCATCACAGTGTTGCACATCAACAGTTCGGCCTCTAGAACGAGTAAAATCCGAAGCGTCTTCAGATTAAACATCGCGTTTGTGCCTCTCGCTGCAGTCACCTTAGACACGGCTTATTTCCAGCCTTCACACTTGAAAAGGTGAAGACGCGTGAACGTAAACGCGCACACGCTGGGCTCTTGTGGAGACGCGGCGTGTGTGTTTGTGTGTTTGCAGACGTTGAGGATGAAGTGGAAACACCTGGGAGGCCGCGGCTCCTCCTGCGCGAGGCGTTCAGGAACAGCAGATGGATCGGGCCGAACACGGCGCTGCGGAGGGGGGAGGTGGTGTGACAGCTTTCTATTTCCATCCTCGTTAACTCGCCTCTCGTTCCAGCGTCCAGGGGGAAAATGCATCTGCCTTTAAAGGACTAGTTTAAAGAGAGGCTCAAGGCACATGTGCAGTCATCATATAATCCTGCTAGCTCCG